CGGCATTATCCAGGTTCTCAGTTGTGTGCTGGACAGTCGGCAGGAGTGCAGCCCTTGCTGCTACTCTTTCCTTCCTAGATGTGTGGACTCCCAGGAAAACTCAGTGTCACAACTCAAGCCACAGTAGTATCCACAAATGCTTCCTTTTATCACCTGGGCAGCAAGGATCTGAGGGCTCAGCAGTCTGGTGCCAGAGAGCACACAGTCTGTTTGTTGGAGGGTGGGCACTGGCGACCTTAAATGGGCAGGTCATGGGCCAAGTCAGGAGGCTGCATCTTTGTCGCAGGAGATAGCTATAACGCTTTTTGTGTGGACACTGCCCATGAATTCTCTGAGGTAGGAATGGGGGCCAGGCTGAGCAGAGGTCCCAGGCTACAGAACCATCCAAACATTAGAGGCATTGCTGACCAGGATGTGCAGCCAACCTCAGGATCAGCCAGAAGCATTCTTCACAAGAGTCCTTCACCCCAGACTTGGGTACCTGTAGCTCTTGGTGCCCATCTTCCCAGAAGGGAATCTGAGAGCCCAGGCCTGGCTGGGCAGCATGTGTAGTCACACAGAGGTACTATGTGGCTGGTGGCAACTTTGCAGGCCAATTCGTGTATTTCAGTTGCTGGATGAGCCCTTCTGACCATAACACCAGCCCCTGAGCCCAATTGTCCCAGGTTAAAATATATCTTATGCCAGGTCTATTAAAAGCTTCAATGCTACCATATTATTACACCAACAACATGAGCAATGAAAGCAGCACTATAGCTTCCTATGCACTATGTCCATACAATATGTGTATATGCATTTTTTCCACAGAAGTGCTATGTACAGAGATACAGTAGGTGTAGCCCTCAAAGTTACGCAAAAAGTCCAAACCAAAAAAACCCTGCTGTCCAATCGATTACAACTCAGAGCTATTGCCCATCAGTTTTCTAGGCTATAAATTTTAAAGATAAGAAATTGCCAATCTTTCTCCCATAAGCAGCTGGTGGATTAAAATTGCTAGACTTTCTGCAAGAGGTACAACGTAGTCATGCAATACACTTAAACCAGAGCAAAATCTGTACCTTGGTTACCAATTCCTTTGCCATGCCTACACCAGACTATGACAGCCAACTTCAGTAGATTCCCAAGAGGGTATTACCATCCTCCTTTCTTGGACAGGGGCTGAGGCAGTAATGGAAAACAGCTGGGTTGATGTCACCCTTAGTATCCACCAGTTTACTCAGCCCAAGAGGGCACAGCTTAGTGGCCTTCCTCAAACTCCTGCCTAGTCTCTGACCCTCCTCTCCTGTACAGCCTCTGCCTGCAGCCCCTATCCTCACGGCATGTGCTTTCTCCCTCACAAAAGACCACTGCATGGCACTTAGTCAATTTAAGGCACAATGAATGAGTCTATGCAGAATAGAACAACTGGACCAAGTCTGAGGCTGTGACCTTTCACAAGCAAAACTGCCTAGTTTGTCTTTTGAGGAGCTCTGGATGGACTCCTCTTGCCACCAAACTAATTTCCATCAAGTAAGTGGATCTAATTCAGTGACTCTGCAGGACAGAGTAGAACTGCCTGCCCTGTAATTTCTAAGGCTATAATCTTTCTATGAGCTCCCACAGAGCAGCTGGTGGGTTTGGGCCACTGACTTTTTGCTTACCAGCCTGCTGCTTTTACCACGATACTAACAGGGCCCCTAATCAGCCAAAAGGAAATCCTGATGACAAAGAAAACCCCGATGACTTTGCTTCCATTCACCATCATGGAAATGACATTATTTTCCTGTAAAACTTTTGAAAGGCCAGTTATGTCCATTTCCTTGCCAGACTATGGTCACAATCCTAGGGAGAAGGGAGATGCAGGTCCTAGAGGGTCTGGTGGTCTGCTGTGGCTGCCTAACCTCATCCTAGATGCTCAACACTCAAAGGCTCAGAGGCTGACTTCTTTCAGCAAGGTATGTGTCTTCAGTGGCAGAGAGGTGTGCCCACAGGACTCAGGAAGCCTATGAGAGCAGAACAGCCAAGAGGAGGCTGGATGCTGACAGAGAAGTTGCAGGACACCGAGGGCCTTGCTTCCTCCTCCTTTCCCACAGGCTAGCTTGTTGCAGTTTCATTACTTTTTAAAAGTGGAAGAAGAGAAGATCTTTGCTTGCTAACATAGGAAAGCACTGATATTATAAGGATTACGCACCTACATAGAGATCCATTGGCATCAAAGTCAGTTCCTATTCATGAGATCCTCCACTGGGCTTCTGGGGCTGTAAACCTTTATAGGAGGAGACTACCTCCCTTCTCACACTCTCAAAGAGCACCTGGTGGACTCAAACTGCTGATGTTTTGGTCAGGAGCATAACATGTAAGGCACCAAGAGCTCCTCTATCAGAGGCAGAAATAAATTTGCATTTCCCAGTTTCTAAACACACTAAAAAGTCAATTGTTCCATGCCACACGCTGGGATAAAAACCAACAAGAAGTGCCATCGGAGACCTCAATGACAGGATAGGAGAGAGATGCTCATCCGGAAACCTTCTTCACCTGGAAGGTCACCCCACAGACACACCAACAAAACTTCCCCTTCCCATGCTGAGGAATGGCTCACTCAGAATGAGTGTTTACCTCTACTGCACCATCAGAAGGTGCCCCCGTGGCATAGTGGATTGCTGCTAAAATAAAAGCCAGTGGTTTAAATCCACCAGCTACTATAAAGGACAAAATGGCAGTCTCCTACTCCTGTAAAGATTTACAACCGCAGAAGGTGACAGAGGACCACCATTTTGTGGTGGGTTTGATTTTGGGGTCTTCACCTTCCCAGAAAAAACTTAACTTTCAGGGCAACACTTCATAAGAACACAGCATTCGTACTGTCCTGTGTCACAGATGAGGGCCCTCATGTGAATAAAGAGCAGAGCAGGTTCAAGATGCGGTGAGAGGACACGGTAGCAGGGCAGAGAGGGGAGGCCACTGGACTCTGAGGTCAGAAACCATAACTCTCAAGGACACTTAAGAGGGTGACATGGAATAGAGTTGTATCGTCTCAAAAAGTCTTTAACTCATAATAACTCAACAAACGTCTCCTACATAAGACACTTTTTCATTCATGAAAGACACCTCTTAGCTCACATCTATAGGGACAAGTAATACTAATGCTGCTATTCTGGAAGCCAGACTCGACAGGCAGTATTTGGCCTCAGTCCCCAAAATGGCTTCTCCACAGCTCCAATGAGGTTTGCTTTCAAAACCCAAGACCACCTAAGGAATTTATGCTGTTGAGTCTGAACTGACTCATAAATGACTTTCCAGAAGATTTTCAGAGGCTGTAAATTGCACAGTAATGTCCCATTTTTCCTAAGAAATCACCAGTGGATTTGGTTAACAGCACAATCCCCTACAAAATTCCCTATAGAATTTAAATGACTATTTTCCAGGAGACAAGAAGGAAGGGAAATTCACAGAGAACAACAATACTTTTGCTATTTACACAATATGAGGCAAACTTGGCCTGAGGCAAAGATTAGGGAAAAAAAGTTTAACAGTGGGCCCTGAGGAGGAAAAGACCCCTAGATCTTAGTGGTTCAGGATTCCTTGGGCTATTGGGAGGGCACCCAGGAGGTGAAGACATGCTCAATCACCTCAGTATACTAGGTGGAGAACTGCTGGCTGGTGTAGCTTTCCACTGCCAGACATTGTACCAATGGTCCCCTGGCCCTGGCCAGGTGAGGTCCTCTGGAGGCCTCTGTAAACTTGATGGCCCTCATTCAGTTACATCCAGCCTCCCATCCACACCAGCTCCACACTCACAAATGAGCCCAAATGGAGCCCACAGACCTCCCCTGCCAGTCTCTCACTGACCATTCCCTCACAAGTCTGGAAAGTCCAGGCCCTTGCTGCTCTCCCTCTTTCCCTTGCTGCACCCCCATGGCAAGGGTCTGGGAAAGATACACAATAGATATTTCCTCTTCCCGTTTCCAAGACATTGCTTGCTGCTTAAAGTAGCCTACCACACAAATCTATCCATCACTCTTTGCAGGGGGCCAAGGGGGATAGGAAAGACAGACCATAAGGAATCCATTATGCTTGCCCAAAAGATGAGACTTCCCAATTCACTACTGTTGAGCCGATTCAAATTCACAGCAACCCCACGGGAAAGAGAAGAGCTGCTTCATCAGGTTCTTGAGACTGTAAATCTTTACAAAAACACACCACCTCATCTCTCTCCCTAGGAGAAGCCAGAGGGTTTGAACTGCTGACTTTTCAGACAGCAATCAAAAGGCTTAACCACTGTATCATAAGGATTCCTCAAATCCACTTCCTGTCTCTTAAACTCATAGCCTGTGTGGAGAAGGAAGGGACACCTGACCCACCCTGCACAGTCTGTGTCCACAACAGGGTGTAGATGCAGAAGTGGGAGTCCAAGACTCACCCAGAGGAGGATGTACTGAAGGGGTCTAGCATGGAGGGGTCTGATGTCGAGGGGTTGGTATGGAGGGGTTGGAGTGGAAGGGGCTGGCATGGAGGGGACTGCTGTGGAAGGGGGCTAGTGGGGTTAGGGTTAGGGTTAGGAGTCTGTGGAGGAGTCTGGTATGGAGGGGGCTGGTGTGGAGGGACAGATGTGGAGCAGGGCCAGGACAGAAGGGGACTGGCTGAAAGGGATTTGGTTTTAAAGAGGATAGAGGTCTTGGTTTTAAGGAAACTGGTAGAGAGGGAAACAGATTTCTGGGGGACTGATGTGGATGAGAGCTGACACAGAAGAATGTGGAACAGAGGAGCTGGTATTAAGAGGGTTGGTGTGGAAAGGGGCTGGCACAGAGGGGCTTAGTTTAAGGAGGCTGGTGGACAGAATGGCATGGGGAGATCGGTTTTAAGGGGGCTTGTGTTGAAGAGAAGTGGCATCTAAGCATTTGATTTTTTAGGGGCCTAGCATGAAGGAACACTGACAGGATGTGAATAAGGGGAGAGATGGGGTATTCCTAGGCTCCAGGAGCCAGGTGGGCACCCCAAAAGAAGGACTAGGGGCCACATACCTTTGCCCCGGGCCCCGGAGCCACCAGCTGAACAGGACACGTCCTTCCTGGGTCTCTTGCTCTGTGGTCTGACGCTGGATCTGAGGAAGTGGTGCTGATCCTGGGGAGAGCCCTGCGGGGCGCAGGGAGCCGGGGGACCAAGGGGCCCGGCGCTGCCACTGCTGAGGGGCTGCTCCGCCGCCTTTGTGCCGCTCGTCTCCTCCTCTGCCGCGTCCCCTCCACCGGCGCCTTCGCCTTCCAGGGAGTCCTCATCGGCCGCACGCTTGCCCAGCTTCTTGAGCCCGTCCTCCCCGCCGCCGTCTCCCAACTTCACTGTCATCCTGGCCAGGGGACAGGCCCGCGGGCGCGGCAGGCCCGGGGCGTGGGGACAACTTTAGCCGCACAAATTCCCTCTCAACATGGCCGCCGTTGTTTGTTCCAATCCCCTCCCGGCCGGCCGCCTGGCCCGGCCGCCCGCTTGTCGGTCAGGACCCGGACCCGGGACCCTCGCCGGATGCCCAGTTCTGCCCGACTCTGCCCCCGCAGTCCGGCCTGGGGCAGCTGTGCGGGCGGCATGGGCACCGGGCGGACACTGGGGCCACCCAGCCTGCGCCCCCGCGCCCCTGGGTCTGGCCCAGTCCCGCTCCGGCCCCGGGGCCACCTACCCAGCAGGGACGTGGCTCATGGCCTCAGTGGGCACCGCGAAGCTGCCTGCGCACCCAGTTCGCTTTCCTGCCACCCAGGCTGGGTCGCTGCTCCGCTCTCTCGACGGGCCTCGTCCCCACCCCCTCCCCGCCCCCCGAAATGGGCGCAGGGTTCCTGAGTCCCGCGCACCTGCCCTGCACACGGGCTCCCCAAGGTGGCCTAGGAGCAAGGCCAAGAGTCCTGGATGAACCCCAAGGGCAGAGGGGCGCGAGGCTGCCCTGGAGGTGGAGGAAACTCCTTGGCGGCCTGTATGTAGCTCCCTATCCGCGTTCTGGGTTGAAAACAGAAAAAGACACGCAGAGGGACCACGAGCTCGCGGTTTCTGGGACTCCTCAGTCCAGGGATGCAGGGCGTTAGGAGGTTTGAAAAAGAAATAAATAAAATGCTTTTGTAACAAAGGAAGGAGCCTGTTGCATCAAACAGGTTGGAGACACCCGAGAAAGTAAAGGGGCCCCAGTGCCAAGGGCACCAATATTGTCAAAACTCCTGGTAAGTAAAAGCCTCACATTCTCCCTCATGGATATAAAATGTCAACAACAATAAAGCACAAAAAATGTTAGGAGCCCAGAAGGTAGGCCTGATGAGAAACGGAACAATGAACGAACAAGTCAACATTTGGAGGCTAGAAAGACTAACTAGGTGTAAAATAACTTCATTCTGGGTGCCTCCACAAGTCTGAGTACTCTGCTCAAGCAACCTTAGAAATAAAAACGTTTAAGGATAGATGGAGATCCATTTGAAAAGAAATTAAGCAGCATGCATCTTTGCTAACAATGAAAAATAGCAACGTGGGCCACCTCCTCTCATAGAAAGATCTGGAAATGGTGGGTTTTGTTGGGTTGGGTGGTTGTTGTTGTTTTAATTATAGTAATATCACTAGTCTGGTATGTTCTGCCAGAAAAAGACTTGAAGCAGTTTTTAGCTGCTTAAGTTGGCCTTACATGCCAACCGCTACAAGAGACAGTAAAAAATGTCAAAGAACTTAACCACATAACACAATATTCAAGGTTCAAAGTCTAGAATGTCTCATTAGCACGCTCAATTTACCCATTTCTACCTAAGAAACTTGAAAAATGCCCAAAAGGACCTTTCTTTGGGTTTAATGGGAGAATCCTATTTCCAAGGGATGTATAAAGCCAGATCTATTCACAACTGACGTAAGACCCAAAAAAAACCAAAAACATCCGCCAGCCCTTCCAGAATAAACCTTCCAGTTTGTCTGACTGAACAGAAGAAGGCATTACAAAGAACTGAGAGGTTATGGGCATAGCTCACTCAGCCATTTGCATTAAAGCAAAGTTCAGGAATTCCTTCTACGAAAAACCTAACAGATACTTTACAGACATAAACGCCATCTCAACCCCCATCAGCAGGCGTTCCGTTTCAAGAGAATGTAAAAGTTAAATTTACTCCTTTTGGTGTAGACTTCAGGCCACATACAAAGAACATTGAAAAGGCAACACGGTAAGTAAAGGGTGCCCCCGACGAGCCCTACCACTGTCCCTACTATTGCACGGCTTCGAGAATGCCTCGGAGCCGGTCGGGAGGCTCTGCGAGGGCACCGACCTCTCCACCCAGCCGGTTGGGAGCTGGGACCGCCATGACAGCCCTTGGGGCGGCCGGCCCTCGTGAACCCCGGTCACCTTTTTCATCAACGCCTCGCGAAAGCCTGGCTTCCCGGATCCCCGGGGGCCTCCTGCCTACGGCCCGGCGGACACCCGCAAAACCGGCCAGGCCAAAAGTCCAGCCGCGACGCAGCGCTGCTCCTCTCTCCTCGGACGCTGTGTCCAGGAGGCACTTGCCCGGCTCGTCCCCTCCGGGGGTCCGACCTGTAGTGGTCGGGACTGCGTGCGCCGATGCTCCCGCCGATCAACGTCCCGGGGGCTCCGGCCCGCCGCACTCACGGCAGTTCCGGCTACGGCGGCCGGCGAGGACCGCGGGACGGAGCGTCGGGGCGGGGCCGGGGCGGGACCTAAGCTGATGGCGACGTGCGGGGTGGACCAATACGCGCGAGAGCGAGCACGTCGACGTTTTCTGGCGGGCGCGCCCCCCGAATGGCACTCCTATTGGCCAGCCGCGGGCGAGCGCGCTAGCACGCACAAGAACTAGGCGGGGACAGTGAGTAGAGCCGGCGATGCGCGTTATGTTGTGACGCCGTCCCGGCGGCCGTGCCGGGTGGAGCGCCTCTCCTGATTGGTGAGATGGCGACCAATGGGGCCAGTGCCCGGGCTGTGATTGGCCGGCCCCGTGTTGACGGATGCGTGAGAAGAAAAGCTGAGTATTGAAACGGGCGCGAATCAAGATTTTAACCAAAAAGTGTAAAAATGCATGTGGGCAAAATGAACACAAGCGTTATTGGATGGAGTATGTTCTTTTTGTAAAAAAGCCTTTTTAAAATATTGCTTTGCATACAAAATTTGTATGCATTGTGTTTCATTCCACAGTCATAAGTTCTTTTGAAGCTGTAGCGTAGCTGGACATGCTAGCTTCATAATAGTGATAAAAGCGTGTTTTTAAGTGCTCGTGTAAACTTTAGCAAAATGTACGTCCAACAAAATAGCTGCTACATTGTCCTCTCATTTTTTCTTAATATTAGGGGCGGGGGTTTTTGCTGCATTTTTGCTATTGTGACTTTTTTTTCTTGTTAATGATATTGCTTTTTTCTAAAAAAAAAAAAAAAAAGAAGACGTGTAGGAAGTATTGACTTGTGTTTTCAGACTTAGGTTAGCCACCTTGAAAGGCTCAAACCAAGCAAGCCACACGTTTGTGGGAATACACCTGTTGGCATCTAGTTAAAATGGCTTCTAGTGGGAGGGATTTTTTCCTTTGGTCACTTTTTTCCTTCCCTCAAATGATTCATATAGACTCCAAAACATTTTTGTATGTACTATACCTACAGCAATCAAGTCAGTTCCTGCTCAAGACAACTGCGTAGGACAGTATTGAGTTGCCCCCTTAGAGTTTCTAAGATTGTATGTCAATCTTCAAATGCAACCAGAGCACTCCTAAAGGTGGTGGTGGTGTTTAGGGGCTGTGGAGTCGAATATGACTCTTAGCGACCCTATGAAAAAAGATCTGAACCCTGTTCTATCCTCACACTTCTGACACACAAGCCCATTGCAGCAGTCACCGTGTCAATCCACCTGGTCTTCGAAGACCCTCTACCCTTCCTAGCATCATGCCCTATTCCAAGAAATAGATCCTTCTAGCAGCATGCGCAAAGTATGTGAGGCGAAACTTCGTCATTCTTGCCTCCAAAGAGCACTCCAGCAGTACCATCCATCTCCAAGACATACCTGTTTGTTCTCTTGGCTATCCATGAGATGTTCAATGCTCTTCTCCAACACCACAGCTTAAACGCATCAATTCTTTTTCTCTATTCTTACTCACTGTCCAGCTCTCAGATGCATAGCAAATGATTGGAAAGACTATGGCCAGAGTCAGACACATCTTAGTCCTCAAACTGACATCATTACTCCTCAATTATTTAGAGAGGTTCCTAAATGAATAATGCTATACCTCTCCTTATTTCCTGAGTGCTGGTACCAAGGGTGTTAATTGCGCATCTAGGCAAGATAAAGCTGTTAATAGTGTCAATCTCCTCTTCATCCATTATGATGTTGCCTATCAGTCCATTGGTAAGAATTTTTGCTTCTTGACATTGAGATAATCTTTAAAGATAAGGATGGTGAAAGAGAGAGAGAGAGGTCCTCGGTTAACACAGTGACTCTAACAATGAGCTTGAGCATGAAAGAGATTGTGACTATGAGGCAGGATAGACCAAAGTTCCAATCTGTTGCTCATAGGGTTGCTTGACATCACCTAACAAGACTAAATCTTTATAAAGAACCTGGTACACCTTTAGACCAATAACTTGAAATTTGCCATAAGGTGCCAAGAGACTAAAGGAAACTTGAAACTTCATGATGATAAAATAGTTTTTTTAAAGGGTTATCCAGTGAAGTGATTTTCTACACATCAGTAGGACCAGACCTGAGTCTCCCCACCCCTATTCCTCATAGAGAAGTAGGGCTTTTATGGTTCTGGGGGACAAAGATGAGATATTGCTGAGGGCCACAACCTCCAAGGCCTCTATGGTAAGTACAACTAACAGTGACTCATAAAGAGGAAGTGAACTTGCAGCAAGCAGGAGCATAGCCATATTTAGCCTCGCAAAAGCCTATTCCACTACAATCTACCCTTTGAGGCACACCCTTCTCTCCCACAAACTCTCTGCAGGCCCTTTAAGGAAGTACCACATCTAGATTGGTACAACAGGCATTATTGGTCCAGCTAGAAGCACAGGCAACAGCAGTAATACAGGCAAACAAAACAACTCTTTACCCACACAAAGACTAGAACACAACAGAAATCTTGCCAGCTAGAGAGGACAGAGAAACCAGGCAACCGTAGACCAGTCATCAGATGTTCTGGTGATAGTTTAATACACATTCAGTCAACACTTCTGGCACTGGCTCTGCCTTGGAAGAGAATGTCCAGGGCCGTTTGGTTGTAGAGTACCAACTCCTTGATCAATTTCAGTAGTTAAAAGCTGCAAGCTCCCTCTGCTCTTGCTCATGATCTTTTTTTCAGAGTCTGAGTTTATTTATCTTACTACTTTCATGGAATTATTTC